CGCATTTCTTTTCCCGGCCTTAAAGTAGTGCTGGTGGTGGATGGGAATCGGCAGGAGGATGCTTACATGATGGACATCTTCCAGGAGGTGATGGGGGGAGTGGAGCAGACAGGCTGTGTGGTGTGGAAGGGGAATTACCATAGGGACGGGGATGGGGGAGGAGGGAAAGGTTCGTTGCATGCTGAGGAGGCTGCACGGGTGGCCAGGGTGGTGCGGAGCTGTCGTTACTCCTGCATCATGCAAGAGTGGGGCGGCAAGAGGGAGGTCATGTATACAGCCTTCAAAGCACTGGGAGATACTGTGGATTACATACAGGTAAGTCTAGACCCCACTAACAACCTAAAATTAATAAAACGGAAAGAATCCTGAATCCATGAATAAATGTTCACACAATAATACGACAATTACCCCTAAAGTAATAGGAATAAATAGCATGCATTCCAGACATGCTTACTTGTTGCTCTCAGAAGGCCAAATTACTTTAATATTGGTGAGCCAACAATTTACTGTCACTATTCATAGTCTGCTATCACCTTATAGTTTCCTCAATGCCACTGTAATCCGAATCCTTGCAACACTGAGGTCAAAGTTCAGTCTTACTATTTACCTTCACCTGTAGTCCTGAACACACCTGTGCTGTCATCAGCCTTTCATTGTTCAACATATGACTGATATCTTCAGACACAAAGATGACCTTGAAACATCTGTGAGCCAATGTTTGTGGTGCCACTAGTTTCTTTCAACAGTCCTTGCATTGTTCAGACAATCATTGTCAACATCAGCCTCGCTTGAAAAAAGGAAAACAGTTGTACATGAGTTAAATTCTTGAGAAGTCTTCTAATTCATTGTATATATCTCTTGGTTTTGTTTGCAGGTATGTGATTCCGACACTGTACTTGATCCAGCATGCACCATTGAGATGCTGAAGGTTCTAGAGGAGGATCCGGAAGTGGGTGGTGTTGGAGGAGATGTTCAGGTGAGAAATTTGCCTATTTTAGTCATTTTTATGTCCCTTTCAACAAACTAATTTGAGAAGTTTTCCAGTGGGTTTCTTCTTTATAGAGTACTCACCAAAAGTTCTTTCATTGTCTCTTTCAGATTCTGAACAAGTACGACTCCTGGATCTCCTTCCTGAGCAGTGTCCGTTACTGGATGGCCTTCAACGTGGAGCGGGCATGCCAGTCTTACTTCGGATGTGTGCAGTGTATCAGTGGACCACTGGGAATGTACCGCAACTCTCTTCTTCAGCAGTTCCTGGAGCCCTGGTACCATCAGACTTTCCTAGGAAGCAAGTGCAGCTTCGGGGATGATCGCCACCTCACCAACCGCGTCCTCAGCTTTGGCTACAAAACCAAGTTCACGGCACGCTCACAATGCCAAACTGAGACCCCCACGCAATATCTGCGCTGGCTCAACCAGCAGACCCGCTGGAGCAAGTCTTACTTTCGAGAGTGGCTCTACAACGCCCTTTGGTTCCACAAGCACAGCCTCTGGATGACCTATGAATCTGTGGTCACCGGGTTCTTCCCTTTCTTTCTGGTGGCTACAGTCATCCACCTGTTCTACCGAGGCCGGTTATGGAACATCTTGCTCTTCTTGCTAACAGTCCAACTGGTGGGCATGGTGAAAGCCACCTATGCCTGCTTCCTCCGGGGCAGGCTTGTCATGATCTTCATGTCACTGTATTCACTACTCTACATGTCAAGCCTGCTGCCTGCTAAGATCTTTGCCCTGTTGACTATTAACAAAGCAGGTTGGGGAACATCAGGCAGGAAAAAGATAGTGGTAAACCTTATTGGGGCTGTGCCTGTGACCGTGTGGGCAGCCATACTGCTCGGTGGCGTGGTTTACACCATTTACTGTGAGGTGCAAGAGCCATTTAGTGAGACAGAAAAGGCTCTTCTCATTGCAGGCACCATCCTCTATGCCTGTTACTGGCTCATACTCCTGGTGCTCTACCTGGCCATAGTGGCTAAGCGCTGTAACAAAAGAGAGGAACAGTATCACCTATCCTATGCCGAAGCCTAGCATGGTCTCTCCAAAAGATCTCTACGTGCTGTCAGGGCTCATTTGAAATGGCCCCGTCTTTACCTGGTGCTGCAATCTTGGTTATAATTATGGATCATGTGCAAGTCCAAGCTGTCGGATGTTGTTAGCTATGGCTACTTGAGAGGTTTCAAACAGTGGAGTTTTTGAGAGAGCCATAATTTACAAAAACTGACATCAGGAATGGTGCTTCTCCTGATTATAAAGCACACAATAAAGAGGCGGCCAGCCAAGGTGGAAACAAAAAGTTGAGCCAAAGGTTAGTGTAAGAGAAATAAGTTAATGTAGTTAAGCTGGCACACTCATATTAAGTTAAGGGGCTATATTGGTGCTTGGAATTATAATTAGACAGAATGTGAACTTTCAAGGATAGAGAGATGTGTGCCAACACTTGAGGAAACCTGCATAAGACATTGAGTTTGCCAAACCCAGTCAGTATTTTAACGTCTTTTATCTGACAATCCAGCATAATTCTATATTTCATCATTAGAAATTGTGGTGCTGCAGATCCTTTTGTGGGGTAGCATGATAGAACATTCAAGAAAGAACAAACAGCATTTAAATGAGAATTTTATGGTACTCCACAAATATTTACTACACTGTACATGTTTACAGTTCAAGATGTATATAGTAACATCCAGTTCCAGTAAATGGATAGTGTCAGGCAACCAAAGAGGATTTTCTCTAGCATCTAGAATGTTTTGTTCCAGTGTGTTAGTTAAAAAAAAAAAAAAAATGGAGGAAAGATTGGTCTCCTATTTTTATTCCCATTCTCCTTTTTTACCTATAAGACAAACTTGCTAGAAGTATAAGATAAATTAGTTTTTTAATTATTTTCATTATAGGTGGTAGAACCAGAGACATAACAAACATGGTCAGTAATACTTAAACTATTACAATTTTTCCCCTAGTTCTGAGAACTTCAAAGCATAAACAGTGTTACATTATATAAAAAAAACTGTCCAGTTATACTGCCTGAAACTTTACACATTACATCTGTTTACAGACTTTGAATAGCATTTCTAATAGTCATTTTCTATAGAGGCTTATAATTTAATAACATTTCATTCATGCTTCACTACCTGGTGAGATTATTTTTAACCTAAGAGGCATGATGTGGACCTGTGATGTCATGATGTTACAGCTTTTTCTCACCCCCAAACTGATTATTTATATAAAGTATGTTAGCTAATTTTGCATGTTAGCCTGATGTTACAGAATCTGACCACCTTTGCAAATTCTTACGACCCTTTCCTATAACATATAAACTATTTAACACATATACTATTTTATAGTATGTATATATATATATAACATATATACTATTTTATTTCCATTAGTTTAATTAAAATGTTCGGTTAGCTAGAAAGATAAAAGCAAAAAAAGGGGACTGAAGTTGTTTATGGTATGCAATGTTAGGTGGTTTTAAGGATTACCATATATGGATCAAAGGTGTACAGTGGACTGCTTTTCCACCCTCAACCCACCCATGCAACAAATTAGTAGATTTACTTTGGTAGCGGTTCACCACTTTCTCTGCTCCCTTCCCCCCAAAACACACATTAAACTCTGGCAGAGACCTAAACACTGAGGCTAGTGTGAATATGTGTGCAAGTTTAGAGAGAAGCTTCGAGTTTATGAAACATTTGCCCGCTCGACTTTTGCTTGTGCATCACATGTGATAACTCTGTCTTAACAGTGAACTGCTGTGGACTGCAGCATCCTCTAAGGCTGCAAAAATAATATGACTCTGATGACGCAATACAATTAAGAAACCAGAACTATACCATGTTTACAGTCAAACTTGGGATTGCATTGTTCACTTTTGTGTGTTTTCAGATTTTATGCAATTCAGTTGTAGGCTGGATGGCTGATATGCTCCTCAGGAACAGAGTGAGGGACTTAAAAATGAATTTTAAAAAAATGGGATGGGGGGGGGGTTTGCTCTGCTGTCTGGCAAACACAACCAATTAATATGTAGATGGTTAAATTTATTTTATCAGTGAAAACTTGATGATACTTTCAAGTGTATTGTAAAGTAATATACTGTATATTTTTGTAATGTAAAATTCTAAGATATTTTAAACATGCAAGAATCCTGACACATTTTCCTAGGAAATTTTATTTTATGGAAAACATATTAAGTTATTTTCATAACACTGTACAGATTAGGGAATAATAAATTATCCATAATCCATAATAGGAGAGGTTAAGTGTTTTTAACCAAAATGCACAGTTGTTTTACAGATCACCATTGGCAGCTTACGTCTACTCACAAAATTAAATATTCAAGTGTTAATGGATTGGCACCATTTAGTCTGCGTGTCACAGCTAACCTGTACTTCCAAAGTGTACAATACCTAGAAATGGCCATCATGGTCTTTTAATCTCACATGAACTTTACATATGATGTTTTATGTATTTATGTACATTCTGTTGTATGTAAAAGAAGCTGGATTCTTTACATTTGGACATTTCCCATGTAATTATTTTTGCAAACACTCGTAACTGTTGTTTCAATACAATAAACTTAAATTGAAAAGGGAGCATTTTCTTTCTTTCTTTCTTTTTTGATTTTAAAATGTACTTTTGGCCTATTACTTAGATTAAAGGGGTCATATGATGCGATTTCAAGTTTTCCTTTCTCTTTGGAGTGTTACAAGCTGATTGTGCATAGATAAGATCCCTGAAGTTGCAAAGACTAAAGTCTCAAAACCAAAGAGATATTCTTTATCAAAGTTAAGACTCTGCCACGCCCCCCTAAAACGGCTCATTCTAACACGCCCCCACATATCTACCCCACTATGTGGAAATATTTGCATAATCCCGCCGCAAATGTGCACTATTTGAAAAATAATGTGTTTTTTGAACATTAAAGCATGTCAACATATTCTGTTACACCAAATACACAAAATAATGATCTTTAAAAAAGCATCATATGACCCCTTTAATTATATTTGTTCAACATTATTGTCAATTACACATTCCTGACAACAATGTACAAAGATTCTAACCCACTATTCAAAACCACATGTATATATTCACATATGGTTATAAATCTAGAATTTTGTGCTGATCAGTTAGTCTCTGATATCTGGACATAAGTTATACTTTCTTTGGCACATTAGTGATAATGGGTTTTGGTCGGGTTTTAAAGGGGTCATATGATGCTGCTAAAAAGAACATTATTTTGTGTATTTGGTGTAAAGAGCTTGTAACACTCCAAAGAGAAAGGAAAAAATGAAATCGCATCATATGACCCCTTTAAAGATGAGCTTCTTTTTAATGAGGGCGGAAACGGTGTAAGATGTTGGGGTTCTCTTGGTTGGTTTCCATGTTTTCCTCTTCATCCTGAGAGAGTCCGGAATGCTTCATCAGAACAGCAAAGGGCTTCTCCAGTTTAACCTGTTTGCCATAGCGGATGTGATGTCCGACTACAAGGACCGGTACACTCTTGGAGAGAGGAAAAATCAATAATTTACCATTGGTAAATAGATATAAAAGTGTTTTATAATTTGATTTGTTTCCATATTTAGTCCAAATAAATAAATAAATAATATATTGTTTTGGGGGGGGTGGGGCTTTGATGTGACCAATTACTAGAGAAGGACAAACCTCTTTAGTGTAGTGCAGGTCTCCCATCAGATTTCCTGCAAGTCCAGTATTCTGTCTGGACACAATTTCTCCCTGCAGCTCCACCAGCAGCCATTCAGCTGGACCTTCACCAGCTTTACTGCAGAACACACCGTAAACCATTTCCAACAAGCACTTTTAGACCATGACCTGTAAAAATATAGCTTAAGTCTTCACACCAACCTTGAAATGACTATTTGAACCATTCCTTTATCTGTTTCCTCTGTGTCAGGATTCACAAATCACACAATTATTCCTGCTCTGTAGACCTAATCATCTGAAACGTTGACAAGACAAAACAAGTAAAATATTACCTTCACTCCACAGTTGACTTTCTACATGAATGCACAGAAGTATGCTACATTCGTAAATAAATACACTCACTTCTCAGGATCCGTAGCTATGCATGATCATATAACGTTACCGACACAAAAAGTTTCCCGCCAGTCAGGGTTGCCAGGTTTTCACAACAAAACCCGCCCAATTGCTACTCAAAACTAGCCCAATCGCATTTCAAGGGGGGCTCCCCGTTAAAAATTGCGTTCCGGGGGATAAAATACACGTTTTTGACGGGGTTCCCCTGGTAAAATTCACACTCCAGGGGCTAAATATCACGTTATTGGGGTCGCTTTAACCCGCGGACATGAAAAACAACCCGCGGCAACAGTGATGAAGTAGCCCAATTCCGCGGGAAAACCGCGGACTTGGCAACACTGCCGCCAGTGTGAGTTACTTTTCAAAATAAAAGTCTCATTGTAGTGTGAACCACTAGAGGGCAATCGAAGCTCGTCTGCGAATAATGTAGAGCCAGTACATAAAGCCTGACTTTTTCAGTTGTATTTATACTAAATCTTTTTGTTCTCAAATTTCGTTAATTGTTTTTGAAGTTTCTGACAAAATAATTCAAATAACTGATAAAATGGTCTTGTTTATGAATTGTGATACCATTTTTTTATTAGAGATTGGAGATTGACAATACAATTAAAATTCTTACTGTGTTCGGAAAATATAACATTAGTAAAATAATGTCAGTTGTACCCAATAGTAGATAGTTTTCCACTAACTTAAAGATTTTTTTATGATTCCTTATTTTTTATACATATATAAAGAACAACAGTAAAACTGAAAAGACGTTTCTGTTGTCGAAGAAGGATAATAGATATAATAGCAGCAATATGACAGATTTTTGTCGTAAGAGGTATAACTAGTCGATTACGATGCATATGTGGATGTATGTTTTGTAACTGTTTCTCCTTGTTGAAAATTCAGTAAAAAAAGATCTGAATTTCAGGAAAAAGAGAGAGAGAGAGAGAAAAGAAGCTAAAATGACAGGGAATTGAGGATACTCGAGAAAACAAAAACGAGACAAAACAAGACATATAAACAATTTATATTTCCCAATTATACAAATTACAAATACATAAAATCTCGATAGCTTTTTCATTCAAATAGTGCTTAATACGGTTTGTGATTTCACACAGTAACGTCACAAAGTTAGAAAATTTTTTGATAGTAAATTAACAAGTAAATATATAAATATAATATAAATTAAGTAAATACATGTAAATATAATAACATGGTAGCAAAAACACATGTAAAGCAGTTTCAGGGCAACCACTGCAAACTTCTAATTATTATTATTATTATTATTGTTGTTGTTATTGTTATTGTTATTATTATTATTATTATTATTATTATTATTGAACAAATATATCAGTGCGCATGCGTGGAGTTGGCCATGCGGAAAATGACTCGTCAGTGTTGTTGTGGATCTCTGACAGGCACGTGAGCGGTGCTACGTAGTCTATATAGCAGTCGACATGGCGGCCACAACTCCTCCCAAGGTACTGAACATGCTGCTTTATAAGTCAATACACGGTCAAAACGACAAATAGCTCCATTTTACCGGTGTTTATAAGTGGGTTTTGGCGTAGATATTCTGTTTGACTAGCTTTTTGAGCTGTCGGTGCTGGGAAATAGGTGATAGACTGGTCTGATAAACTGCTGTGTTTAGCAACAGTTAGCCTGGCTGCTAACACCCAAACACCCTGACATACAGCTGATAAAACTGCGAAAACCACGGACGTCAGAAGCAGCGTTTACGCTGCCAGTTCCGTCGCGAATGCAATATCGATCGTATTTGGGGCGTTTGGACAGTAAAAACAAAAAGTCCCAGTTGTGTCTGTGCTTAAACTAGTGTTGAGTCATGAGTTGCCTGGCAGGTTTATGAACATCATAATCTAGATTCTAGATCATAAACATGTTTTGAGCTAGACGACTGACAGTTTATTCACTGATTCAGGTGAATTAATTCCATAAGGAAACTGGCTTTCATATTTTCAATTCTCTTAATAAGCTATTTCTTGGTACTACAGAACCTCATTTTCATTTTGTTTATCGTTTTCTCGTCTCTGTTTACTCTGTTACTCATGCATGAGCAAGTTCCTTTACCACCATGATGTTTTGATGGTTAGCAATTACAGCTACCAACACAGATTTAATATAGAAATTATGTGCATTGCTCATGTGGTGCAAGTTATTGCAGGGTTTTGTTTTCTAGGGGCTATTTTTAGTTTTGCAGCGATCAGTGTAGTTATTTTTTATTGTAAGGGAGCTTGCAAGAACATTCTGTTTGTGTCAGTATGACTGGATTTGTCAGTTCCTTAAAGGGGTCATATGAGGCGATTTCAATTTTTCCTTTCTCTATGGAGTGTTACAAGCTCTTGGTGCATAAAGAAGATCTGTAAAGTTGCAAAGACTAAAGTCTCAAATCCAAAGAGATATTCTTTATAAAAGTTAAGAATCAACCACGCCTACCTAAAACGGCTTGTTCTAACACGCCCCCACATGTCTACGTCACGATGTGGGAAGATTTGCATAACACCGCCCAAATGTTCACGCAAAAAAAGAAGGCGTAACTTAGGGATGCAACGATTATAGATTTTGTTGGTACGATTATTGTCTGAGGAATAATCAC